AACTCAATAGTGAATCCAAATTACGTATTAATGTGTTTACTATGTAATGTGAAATTTTAATATGTCATATCAAAATATGAATGACCTTCACCGATTAATGTGAAGTTAAATAGAAAGTCCGAGGCGTGGATTTAAGAATCTATTCCCTTGAGTGTTCATGGCTTTAGAAATTCTTAAGAGTACCTGTTTACTTTTACGAAAACGTGCGTGTGCGGACGTGCCTGTAGGCGATGAGTGACAGTGTGCATTTAGAATAAAAGGGGCAGTTCAGAAAAATCGGTGAAGGAAAGGGTTTGAGAAAATTGAGTGGAGCAATGGAAAATCCAAGTAAAAGCAGACTCGTGTGTTACATATTCTCTTTTAATTTATTTAAAATAAAATTTTATTAAAAAATAAATTGGTACTAATATTTCAAAATCTTACTAAAGTTCTTCTAATAATTTCCAAATTATTCAACAATTATTGTGCATGTTATAGACAGTTATAACGTTACAGTCATCGGTAGTGATCGGCCATTTTGTAAATAATTTAATTTAATTTGTAATTGATTTAGAATAGATCACAGGGTCATCTCCCGAAAAATATATTTTCTCCACCTGTAGTGGATATTATTTATTTATCGACCAAATATTTAAATATTCGTTACCAGCTATTATTTGTGTAAATGCCCCCTGTTTTCGGCTGTACCGTATCAGTTACACAAAAAACTGGTTCTCCTAAAACGCTCTGTATTCCCCGTCTGTTGCAAATGAAACAATGTAGACACTTCAAATCTGCAAAACATCTCGCGTAACAATTTAATTCTCTGTCGCGAGGGTTGCGTGTACTGTAATTTCATCAAGTTCGACACGCATCATACAGATTTTCCTTTATTACGCACAGTTTAAGAGAGACGATGTGCCTACTCCCTCCAGATAATTGAATCTTGTCCCGCCTATGTTTCATTTTCGTTGAATTCACGCCACGTTTTGATTCGCTGGATCAATCTGAACAGATTCCGCTGAATGTGTCTTCAAGAGCATTTAATATTGTCAAGTGCGGCAAAAATTCTTCGTATTTCGCTACAATTTTAACAGAAAATCAGTTTTGAGAGTTCTTGATGTGCGTGTACATACATTTGACTAAATCGAAGACAGTGCAAATATGATGCAATATTAATATTGATTAATCTATTCAGTTAGATATTCTGAAATTAATATATTTTCTAAGAAGCTCCATATATTCAATTAAATTTAATTGCTTAATAATTATTCTAATTTAATTCTTAAGGTTCGAAGTGAGTAGAATTTCAGAATCTGTGCAGTGAATAAAATTACCGCATTAATCCGAAATACCTATCTCAACGTATCCTTCTCCCATATTTACTGACCTCCCACCTATGGTTCAAAGTTACTTGCAGTACTTACTATAACCAGAACAAGAAGCATATTTCACGTACCTAGCGTTCCAAATCTGGTGCAATTTGTAAGTTTATAAAATTTTCTAATCCGTTTCTAATCGGAAAAGAAACTTTCGAGAAATAGAAACAGAAATTTCTAATGAAAGTTTCATTTTATCCTTTTTAGGAATTTATGTCTATTTGCTACTGTCTATCTTTCTCACTAAAAACTGCACATTACATTGTATTAAGGAAACTAATAGCTGTCATAAATGAAGTATGGAAACAATTAGAAAAAAATTCGGATAAAGTGATAACTTTCCCATTTCATTGAATATTATACTATTTTCTATTTGACAAGTACAAAACTTTCTCTTCTTTAATTTTAACCCTCCTATTCAAGTTTTTTTAGATGGGTACACGTGCTATCCAGTTTGACTGCTACAATGTCTGACCAATATCAGCTATTTCTACTTGTATCGAATATAGAACATAATACATATAGTGTCGTCCATAGTCCCTCTCTCCCTTAACTGGTAATTCGCATCATATTATTATGACGAACAAATATATTCATACCGCTGTGAATGTTCAACAAAGTTGTGTATGGTTTGAAACATAATTTTCTAATTTATTTCTACTTGCGTTACTTGTTTGATCATTCACAGTGGTATGAATCTATTTGTTTTTCATAATAATATGATGCAAATTACCAGTTAAGGGAGAGAGAGATATTGGACGTTACAAAATAATTACAATAATTTACAAAATAATCACTGTATTCGAGCACCTGTAGCTTGCAGATACGTATTAATAATTACTTTCTAAATACCTCGTTAAGTATTAAGTTTAGAACGTATAAAGATCAGCCCATTTTACCATTTGATCTACGGTACAAAAAATTGGTTATCTCGTTAAAAAAAATCAAGGTGACCAAGTTAGCTGTGATACCTTGTATATCATTCGATCCTCCAGTTTTCCATTGACGTTCCAGTCGTCAATTTGGCAGCACGGTGTTATGTTATTCATTTTGTACCCCCGTTAAGACAACCGAGAAGTCTTCTGTAAATTGGGAAACGCGATTCCGTAATTCCCCAAGAAAATACAGAAAACGTGTCCTGCCCTCTGATCCTGACGGAAACAACATCCCCTATCCGCCGACGCAGTCGCGCGTCTGGCAGGCGCGACCCCCACCATCAACCGTGTTTCACGGGGGCCACGCTCCGCCGCGTACCGGACACATCTAATATAAAAGCCCCCGTCGCGCGATCCGCTGGCTTCGTTGGTTTTGCGATTTCGGTGAACCTGTGTGGACCCCACCAGTGGACCGGTACTACCCATCCACGCAATCACCTGGCCAGGCGCCGGTCTTCTTTCCCATTCGAATCGAAGGTGAAGAAACAGAGACTATACTATTTTACGGGTGCGATGGGGAATGTCTGACGTGCCAGAGTCGGGCAAAATTTTATTTGAATAATACATAGTGAGAAGCAGCATTATTTAAAAATATCAACCTGATCTTGAACCCTTTAACTCTCAGTGTTGTACCGGTGCAACACTAATTTTAAAAGTGAGTCAAATTTTGTCGCCGGTTAATATCTCACTGGTCTCAGCGTAGTTTCACTGATGTGAAGTAGGTTTAAACGGGTTCGGTTGAAAATTTTAAGTATTCCTTCTGAACGTAAATAAAAAAGTAGGAAAATAGGCTGTTTAGTATCGATATTTTCGACTTCGAAATAACAAGACACAATATAGATATATGTATATCAGTCTCATAATTTTGAAATAACGATTTAAGGCTGTGGGCGTTAAAGGGTTGAACAGTTAAAGAGATTAAATAAAGGTTGGCCAAGTATCTGTTCATTGGAAAAGAAGTATTATTTTATTGTAATATTTGGAATTACAACTGTTATTGTATCTATTGTGTATCCATCTTATTGTTTTCTTATACCCAGAGAAGTAGAATGTGATTTGACTTATGTGGGATTCAGTTGAAAGGTGAAAGATGAAGTCTCTTCTGATTTACTTTCCTTGAAATTTTGTAAGAATAATTACTATTCTTATTAGATCCTTTCGATTTGCTTTACAATTACAAAGTATTTAATATAGGGAGATAGACACTATTATTCTTTTCCCTCTTATAATATTCATTCTTATAATATGAACCTAAATACATAGAAAATGTTATCACGTAAAGCGTTTGTTAAGCTGGAGAAATAATAAGATAAACATAGTCGATATGAGATTTATTAGGATAGTGAAGTATCTATTCAAAATTCACTAAATTCAAGCTTTAACTTTACTGAAAGTTCTCTCTTGAAAGCACACGTTTGCTTCCGACGTTGTATGCTTTTTAGTGAAACTTAATTGAATTATTAGAAAATTATGAGACCGCTATATGATTCAGTGCTTTTTATTGCGTTTAACAAGTTTTATCAAGCTAAACTTGTTGTTGATATATCTAACTTTTACGTTCTAATATACCTTTTTTTTACTTCGCGTGTCGAAGGATTCATTTACCTCGGTAGTCTTATTTGGAGAAGAATGATGTAATACTAGAGAATGTTTCTTCGGTGTTACGACCAATTTTACTTTCAACACATTTTTTAGCTGTTCTTTAATATTAAAAACTGCATACTGTACAATTTTTCTTAGAAACAATCATACTGGCGATAAGAATATTAAGCCTGAAATCCATAAAAATTGAATTCCTTTGTTAGAATTACATATGAAAATCAGAAAATAATTGCCTAATTTTTGTAAGTTGGAAAAATATGTAGATTTTCAATAAATTATCTTATGGATTTCATTTAGTAGACTTTATTTATAGAAACTGGAATAACAATTTATTTATTCCGTTAAGATAAATTAGATTTCTACCAGGCTTCAAATGAAATAATAACCCCATAAAATTTTCTTAAACTTCGTAATATACTCAACTATAAATTAGATTTCTACCAGGCTTCAAATGAAATAATAACCCCATAAAATTTTCTTAAACTTCGCAATATACTCAACTAAATTGTTTTATTGCCATCAAACCGCACACACCTAAATTTTTGAACGGCTGCAAGCCATATGCGCTTAGGTAAATATAGGAACATTTTATTACTTTCGAACAAAGGCTGATTCCAAGAATCCAGGAACAATGCGTAAGGAGCTATATTTCCTTTCTTCTGTCTCGCTTGTATATGACACGCCTACAACAACGCGTCTACCAATTAGCCATAAGGGAAATATCGACAGTTTCGTGAATATTTTGCCAACATAGAAGGGTCTCCCCTCTTTGTAGATTTTCTCATCGTCATATCCAGCCTGAATTGTCAGTCAAAGTTTCACCATTGAACAGTCAACCTCTGTATATCGATCCGCGTCATTATTGTTACCTCCGTTAGTTTACTTCTTACTTTTTATTGAATCATTTATCGTGCTCACCTAGTTGTAATTAACATAATATCAACTATTAAATTAATAATATAATAAGTGATTTCTAATCTACTATATATTAATAATATAATAAGATTTTGCGAAGCTCTAAGACAATCGCGCTGAGGACTTCGTGACGCAGCAATTACTTAAACGTGTATTCATTTCTTTTCCACTTCAGAGTGCAACTGGTCACATGGCGATCGCTTCGAAACACTTAGCGACGGTTTTTATACGCACTTGGATCCTCATGATAATCTTCTGCTTTGCGGGCAACGCAGCGGGTATGTAGAAATTTTAATCTGTACTAACCTATCTTTTACATACACTTGAATTAATAATCCTTGCAGGTGTTAACACTAGAACTATCAAAAAAGTCAAAATGACTTGTCGGTACACTCTTATAACGATGAGTAAAATGTTATAACAATAGATTTTCTCATACGTTTTGCTACTTTTATTACGATATGAAAATGAAGAAGTTAGTTAATTTAAAAATTTTTAAATTTTCAAAAGTTTTAAACAGACGTAATTTTCCCTCATCTACGTTTTAATATGATTCACCACAAAATGTTTCCGGGAAGAAATATTAGAAGGTTCATATGATCAAGTTAGCTGGTAAATAAATGTTTTATATTCATTTCCTTGTAATTAATTCCCAAAGGGAAGTTACATTTTTACCAAGTCCTCTAAAGACGTTTTCGAAGACGTGATTCATCTTTACTAGAATTACCTTAAAAATCAAGTAGGATATTATAGCGGCCCGATGTTCGTTTCATTTATGAGACTGAAGACTCCTCCCGGTGTAGAAACTTGCGAAGCATGACATTATTACTAGAGTGTGAACAAATAAGAAAAAACTTACCGCAGTTAATCCTGTTTCCCAGACACACAGAAAGTAATAACGCGCATTAAAAGTGCGCTAGCTTCGCCTTTCCCCCTGATGTAAACTTATTAAACGGGTTGTAGATCGCAGAAGTTCTGGAAACATTCAGCGAAACGTGAGATCGCGATCTAGGGGAAAGAGATGCCATGCGTTAAAAAAGTTACGCACGTTACGCAGTTCAGGTGATTTCACTCGAACTTTGGTTACTTAATTATGAGAGTCAGCCGTCAACTATTTATTGCATATTAAAAACTGCAACTGAGTACTGGTACTTTTTGCTTGTGGTTGATTTGTGGAGAAACTTGTCTATTACTGAACGAAAAAATATATACATATAAATTACGATAAGGATTATTTGTAATCTATGTTTGTGTCTGTGTTGTAAGAAGAATATGTGACAGATTAAAATTTAGGAAGATTAGAGAATTCCATTCAATTTATTTATTGCTTTATTATGCTATAAATATAGAGCACAGAATTACGTGTATTCTGTATAAACCATAATAATGGTACGTACTGTCTATAGTGTAGTAATTCTTTTCTTAGTGTTACATTTACTCGGTGTTTGTAGTATTCCATTGTTAATTGTGCGAATATTTTCTTGTCGAAATGAAAGTTTTTCCTAAAAGAATAAAACAAGGCAATGGAATTTTTTCATAAATTTCTTGTTTCTGAATACTGTTCACTTTATTGTTCACAATATTCTCCAACAGTGTATCTAACGATAGCATGTCTTCATTTAACATCAAATTCGTAATTTAAAATTATAGGAAAGAATAATTGCGAGAGAAACAAGGAAATTTATTACGAAGCCACAGTCTGCAACTATAAAGAATGTGACAGGCATTATAGTTTTAATTGTTCGTTATCAGGATACCACAGCAAAGTTTCTATAGATAATTTTATTTAGTACGTTGCATAATTATAGTTGTACAGAACTTTTCCTTATTTGATTATCTTATTACTCGATGCAAATATTTCTCGCTGGAGATCTTTCTTGGTAAAGGTTAATTTAAATAAAAAGCAGCACAAACGATGAAAGCGTTGCCCTCAAGTCCTTCGTTACCAAGTTGGAAAAGTTTCCATTCTGTCAGTGAATAATTACTAAACTATGCTTTTAAGTCATTAAAGTCTGACACGGCAACAGTAAATTTTGTAGAAATATGGAAATATTATTTAATGTTATGCACCTCTGAAAAATTACTATCAAATTTTTTCTTCAAATAACAAACCTACTTCTACAGTCAATATTAACAATTTCAGTTTGTAACGCATACAAATTATGGATTCATATTTTTATCAAATTGTATCCTTCAATAGCAATTTTATTTCTTGTCTCGTTGAATTTTGATTTCTTACCTGGGTTGGGGATAATGAAAATAAATCTTCACGTTTTGACAAGCCGCGCGCAATTTTCTAAACATTAACATACGTGATTGATAGGTTGTGTCAAGAGACTGTTATTAGATGCAAACCGTATACATAATAAGAAGACTGGCTTAAGAGGGACTAACGTGAACAATAATAACGAAGTTCGTGTAACATCATTAATGGGATCATCCGCGGTCGACTGATCCCAGTTTCCATCGGATACCGGAAATTTTAATTGTATATTCGGGGCCCCCGTTTACAGAGTATAAGATTAACAACTTCACACGTTCCTGGAGTTCCCGTCCTCGGGTACCTGTTGCTAATCCTCGGAAACTGAGCTCCCGTTCCCTCATCGATTTACGTTTTTAGCGAGAATCACTTAAGCACGTAGATACAGTAATAAATAAAAGTTTAGAATCAAAAATAAGACAGAAATTATTTGCTTTGGATAAGGAACGTAATGTCAAACATTTTTATTACATAATAGCTAATGAATTATTTATTTATATACATATATATAAATTTTAATAGGTAAAATAGAATGATACCTATATTTTTTGACTGCACAAAATGACATCGCCTGTAAAAAGTACCCCTAAAATGGGGTAATTGTTTACCACGAAATAATACCGCGTTAATTGAGGGATGAGAATATACAGAATATATTTATAACACTGCAAACTTTAATAATGAACAACCATTTATATATTCCTCACCGACTTAATAGTATTTATGTGAAAGACGTGTAATCGTTGGCCCATTTCCTCATCTTGAACTCATGACCATTACAGTAGCTATGTAATAAGAACCTCACGGCAAACGAAGGAATTTGTTTTTTGAATAAATTCCTACATCATTAGAAGAATAGGTGACCGACCACGTGTCGTATTGTGAGAGTAAACACACGTTCTATCGCAAATACGTTTAGGACTTCTGGTTTAGCGATGATACGGGTAGATGGGGAGAAAAAGTAGGAAAAAATAAACGAGAAAAGAGAAGACAGGGCAGAAAAAATAAAGCAAATGAGAAAAAGAATTGTGATGTATTTGGGAGCTGTTAATGAGTGGGAAGAATGGGTTCGTAGAGGTTGGGTGACAAAACAAGGGAAGGAAGAATAGAGGATACAAAAGAAGTGGTAGGGTGAAAAATGAATAAAAATATCGATAAATTGAAAACTGAAATACATTTGTTGTATAATTTCCGATAATGGTCATATATTTATTATATAAATTATTAACAATGTTCTAATAGTCCCGAATTTCAAAAGAATGGCATTCGAACATCGTCGTTCGTTCTAAATAATATCTTCACCCTTCAAAAGATGCTAGAAATATTTAAATATCTCCCAGGCGGTACCTGCAATTTGTTGGAATTGTCTACAATCACTTTCTGCAAAGATAGAAATCTAGAAAACACGATCAGATAAATCGAACATGTCACACAAACACCTCTTGTCACTTTCATACGGCAACAGTTCACCTGTGAACTTATTTTAGCAGATATCTCGTGTACGCTAATGTTTCTATTCTCAAGTATTCTCTAGCGCAACATGTCCATTGGGCAACGGTGACGAAATAGAATAAAAGGAAAAGTCTTGACAGTGAGAAGACGTGAGAAGGGAAAGTAGAAAGCAAAGTGGCTGCAATGGTCCATCGTGAATATAGGGATCAGAAAATCAATTGTTGGCTTTGTCAGATAGCCGATGCAACTGGATATGAAAATGGCTGTTCTCTCCCGTGTCTTTTCCACTGACATACATTTTCGTGAAACATGGCATTCGATCTAATTATTAGATATACACAAAAGTGAAAAGGCCGTTTTACTCGTAAATTTTTATTAGGTCTACTAATAAAACTAATCGATTGTTTTTTTTTCGGTAAATTATATACTTGTTCCAAAGCCAAATACTCATGCTGCGTTAAAAATATTTGCCACAAGTTTGTTTTACAAATTTTCTATTTCGAAGGAACCGAGTTTCAGAATGGTTGATACTTATTATACTGATAATTAAATTTTGATGATATTTAATTTAGAAGTTATGACAGTACCATGATATTCATTCTGGAAGACCCTATTTGTAATTTTTGTAATGTATAAGGTAGCTGTAAATCAACTCGGATAAGCTGTAAATTTTCCCAAAGTGAAGGTAGAAAATAAATGGCCGCAGTGACATCTTTAACGAGATTTAACCCGCTGTGACGTATACTTTTTTGCAAATGCGGTACGTAACTGGTGAACGTAGTTCATGTCTCTTCGTTATATTGGTTGCTACCATTTATAACTTTGCATATAAAATTGACGGAAAAAGGTAATATACAGCACAGGAGTTAGTGAAACAAAAAATTTCTAATTACTCGGGATTTATTTTCTTATATTGTGGTAATTGCATTCTATAGATTGTAGAAATAAAAATTATGTAGCTATTTGGTTTCTCCATTGACCATTGGCCAGCAGGCGTCTTACCTTCTTCGAATCCTACGTGTTTACAGTATTACGATCACGATATATGTAACTTCGTCTCGTAGTACACTCTTCACTAGTTCGAAAAATGTGTTTGATTTCAGTTTTATATCAGTGCTTGCACAGTCAACTTCGATTCTTCGGCTAACACCTTCTTTGCGATCTCATAGAAGAAAATATAGGTCGCGAATGTTTGCAACATATCTGTAATATTCATAGGAAAATTGATAAAAAGTGTGTTACGTATTCAATGTGCGGATTGAGTGTAAATATCGTTTCTTAGCACTTTATGTATTTTTCTTACCTTATATCATTATCTGTAGGCTTGTATTTTTGAAGCTTTATAATTTCGGATTCTTCTATAACGTACGATAAACATTAAACGTGGTTTCGAGATTATTACAGAAGTAACATCTAGCACACACTTTCGTAACAAGCAACGCTATATTATATTTAGTATTTCAATAAAACGTTTGCGTAAATATTAGTCGATGATTTTTGTTGAAGCAATTTTTTGTGTATTGATATCACTTAATTTCACCGTTATTTGTTCCCGTTCCGATTGGAACATGACAAACGAGGATGTGTAACACGAACTTGTGTAAAATGAAAGATTCAATTTGATATAAAAAAGAAACATTGTGCACAATCGTTTTTGTGCCTTGCGTCTTGCGTGGGTTTCAATGAACCTCACGTATCCTTTTCAGTTTTATATACACGGGGGTACTTAGGGGTTCTGTTGAATTTTTAATTAAGCCAGTTCACCGCGAATAGACCCGCCGCTCTGGTTATTTTAGGTGGAATTTGAACAATCCTAATTAGATGCGCCCACGTTCAATTTCTCTTTAACATGTCATTCATGAGGTAAAGTACCGCCGAAGTTCTTTTAGAAATGTATAATATTGGGTCATCCCATAAGTTGTACGTCTTACCGTAGACCTGAATTTACAACAATGAAATTTCAATGTGAATTTGTATTAACAAGTATTATGTGTTTCAGGTTCTTGCCTGAGCTATGGGCATTCATGTTGGGGAGGTATGTTTTCATTTATACGTGCTATTATAATTATATTGTGGTGTATTCCCATTTGTGGATCCTGTAAACATGAAAAATATGGTAAAAGTGAAATTCTCATATGTTTTATTGAAACATTTGTCATATTTCTATTAAAACATATCTCTTAACAAAGGAAATACTTACATTTCTATTTAACACCAGCTTTCGTAAAGTAGTCCAATTAGAAAAACAATTTAATTTACTACTAAATTATTATATTACTGTAAGAACATTATTTAGATGTTATTTAATCGATTACAATATATTTTTAAGACATGCATAAACGTCCATACTGTATTGCAATAATAAGGTAACAAATTTCGTCCTTTTTATAATAACCGTAACGTCCACGGAATAAAATCTATATACTTTATAAGATTAATTAGCGTTGAAACTGTTTCCTTACAAAAAACCCTTTAATACTGCACGGAGTCAGAAGAAGAAATACTTCGTAATGTGTCTTCTGAAACTAGATACGTACATCGAAGCATTGTGACGTAACAGAACGGAAACGGTGTTTCTGTATACGCATTTATATCGAAACAATTTGCTGGTGCATCTCTAACGATGGCGCAGATCGTCTTACATTCAATGCCATAAAGGGTCTTATATTTCCCTTCCACGTGCATTTATAATATGCACAACCAAGTATAAAATGAAATAATATTCTTAAAACGTGGGAGACTTGGTTATTAAAGAACACTAAATAAAACCTTCTTTGAGACCTTCATGAATATACGTGCTTCTAAATACGACTGGCTAGTGTGTCTGAACATTGCGAACTATTTCTCCTTGTAACGACGGTACGGTATTATCAGTTGGATGATCTATATTGTATCGTACCACTTCACATAAAATGATTATAAAGAAATAAAATAATTTCGCATCACTGTTAATATTTATAGTCGTAATTGCAAGAGTATATAATTAATAATAAAATGTTCGATAGCAGAATTATGTTCGAACAAAATCAACTTTCTTCAAAATAATGACCTATACAAACAAGTATATTTTGAAGTGATTTTGAATTAATGTTATCAATTAACAAGAATCTCCTGAACATGTACAGATGCATTAGACTGTTTTATTAAGAAATCTTAAATTACAAAGTCCATATAATCGAGGGTCTGTTGTATATGTCGGATTAAATTAAAGTTCCAGAAGATTTGCTCAAATACGTTTTTGACAAATACGTTCAACTGTTAAAACAGCTCACGGGAAACGTAGCGGAGGACATAACAACGCTTACTTTGTTCCAACAAACACGATGAACGATGTACAGCAAGATGTACCTTCGTTCGCGAAGGAGCAATGGGTATTATCTCGTCTGATCGCTCGACCTTTGATATCTACCAAATACAGAGGACGATGGGACATACCGTTCAAAATAAAAACGCATTTTCCACAGCACTGGGAAAATCGTGAGCTTAACACACGTGTGATCAGCGATGAACCTCTTAGGTGAGTTTAACGGTAATATAGGAAGCAATTAAATATTTAACAAATATTTTATAGGTTTTATTATCGGTGTCGGAGAATATTTTATAACATTACATTTTATACAGGGATCAAAATAATAACGAAGACGATGACGAAGGGAAACAGAGAAACATTAATGATATGCATGGCATAGTGGGAAGGATTAATGAAGGCCAGAAGGATGTCCCAGAAATATTCTTAATATCAAATAACGGTGAACACGAGCAAGACAGGAAACCACAAAATATAGAACTGATCAAATTTCTGGTGAATTGAAACGTTGATTAATTTATATTATATTATACATTAACCTTTAACTGATGAGGTATAAAATTTATTAGCCTTCACTTATTAGGCAACTAGTTATTTTGCATTCTCAAGGAAGACAACATCGAAACAAAGAAACATCTCTTTAAGTAACTACAGAACAAAAATAAAATATTCTAAAAATATTTATGGGGCACCTCAGACCCCATCGGGACAGTTAAGGGTTAAATTATTGAGTTTTACGTACACTCCGGTTCGTAATTATTAGAACGTTTACCGAATTTGAAATAAATGATAGAAGTAACAAGGCACTCAGAAAGTGCTATATTGATGGAGAACACTTGTGGTAAAATACATAATAAGAGTGGTGCACAATAATATAATTTTTATAAAACTTTTATAATCCTTATGAACGGCAATGTACATTATGGAATTAATTCATTACTTTTATTTTCAGAGCGATTCCAGCGATAATTTGGAATGAAACGATTCCAACGCTACTGTGAAATACAATGTAAAATAGAAATTGTCATAAATGTATTGTGATTGAACTTAAAAAGATATTGTTTCAACCACTTGATTAGTGATTCTTTTTCTCGAATAAAAATTGAGTGACTGTCTTATGAATGCTTGTCTTCCTTTCCCGACAAAATACAATTTTTTACTATTCTTTTGATTTCTATTTGTTATAAGAGAGATTGTTATAAACATTACATTATCGAAAATATTTAATTTATTGTGAAATAATTTAGAGTAAGCCAAATATTCCATACTCAAAATTATAACAGTTATGTAATACCAGACGTCGATGATACGCCGTGGTAGTTACTTTTAAGTTATTTGTAAGATTTTGTAAAAAGGGAGGTAGATGAAACTAATGATTCCATCGATGTAATTACGGTTACATAGATGGGATTGGGTTCCATCTAGCTTTCCTTGGGTCTCCAGTCGCAGCAACCTCCTCGTGGTGAGACCTGGGCAATTGGTATTATCTTCGGTAAAGTATTATAAACTGAAGGTAATACCAAGCTAATGGCTGCGAACTTAAAATTAATTTCTCTAGTTATAAAAATGAATCTAAGATTAAATATTTTTGGTAAACGTTTGTAGTGATTGTTAGTGTCTGCCGTCATGCATACCCCGTTTAGTTCACTTTGGACAGCTCTTATACCATTATGCGGATAGCTTCAGCCTTGACCAAGCATTGAATTTGAAGCTTAAAGAACGTAGATTAATCCCTGTATATATATAATAACAATAAACATGTTTAGTTCACTTTGGACAGCTCTTATACCATTATGCGGATAGCTTCAGCCTTGACCAAGCATTACATTTGAAGCTTAAAGAACATAGATTAATCCCTGTATATTGATAATAACAATAAATGATCAGAACACTGTTAAAGTCGCAATTTAATCGCGGAATACCACTATTTTTTTGACCGGTGGCGCCGCCCGTGGCAAATTGCTCAAACTGCTAGCCAAATTATACCGACAAGTAAGTGAAAATTTCTGCAGTTGGAAAAACGCGAATATTTCAGTAATTAAGCGTTCAAAATGACCGTCGTTAGTCTCAAATTATTCCTGAAGACTTAATGTATCGACCCAATACTTCAGGACCCCAGAATTAGTAAAATTATTTAGGTCTGAATTAATAAAGCCCCTTATGGAGTGGCAACCTTAATTGCAAAACTATGCATTCACATTTACACCGCTGAACGGGCATCATTTTTCTTCGTCACGCATTAGATTCGATATTCAAGGGACATAGATTAGTTCTGTCTAGCTGCTGGGAACCAGTAATTACAAAAACATTGTTAAAATCATATTTGTTTGAAACGTTTGAAACTGTATCTCGTCATGCGTACCCCGTTTAGTTCACTTTGAACAACTCTTCCAACGTTATGCTGACAGCATTCGTCTTGACTAAGCATTCAAATTGAAGCTCAAAGAACGTAGATTAATCCTCTGTCATTAACAATTACAATAAACGACCAGAACACTGTTAAAATTGCATTTAATTGCGGAATACCACTTTTTTTTCGACTGGTGGCGCCATCCATGGCAAATCGATGAAACTGCTAGCCAAATTATTGGCCAGCAGTTTGAGCGATTCGCCACGGGTGGCGCCACCAGTCAAAAAAATAGTGGTATTCCGTGATTAAATGCGATTTTAACAGTGTTCTGGTCATTTATTGTTAATATCAATATACAAGGATTAATCTATGTTCTTTAAGCTTCAAATCTAATGCTTGGTCAGACCGAAAGCTGTTCACATAACGCTGTACGAACTGTCTAAACTAGAGATGGTGTGAACTGCTACTTGTGAATCACTCGTCTCAAATCAATCTTCTTACTACTCTCCTACAACACTTTTGTTACAGCCGATATATAAACTTATTTGTGCTTTATACATATGCATATCACTAACTACGACTAATCAAGTTTTTACAAGTGTATTTGATTAGTTTCAATCACATACATATACATATGCGTAGATAGGCGGTTGATATTCGAAGGGTTTGCAATAAAAAAGCACAAGGATGTATCAGAAATAATTGTATTATCTATTGTATTAAGGTAATCGCTAATTTAATATGAACAAATTTCGTTTTCGGTCAACACTCGATACATAATGGTGACGTGGTTATCGCGGTGTTCCACTCAATCTACATTCGTGTCTCAAACGTACATTATCGTTTACAAGTATTAGGACCACTGCTTTGTTCAATAAAAATGTATTGTTTAATACTGGTCACATACCAACATACACTTCATATTCGATAACGTGTCCTATTACTGATAAACGATGATGTACGTACCACCTATTCCTAAAATAAGTTACGGAATTTCGCATATCTTCAAACTATATTGAAACACTTAATCTAAAATATCGTTCTCACGTATCATGCGTACATTTCGATTGATTGATTCGATTGATTGATGCGATTTGATGACAAAAAGTCTCATCATTTTACGGGAAACAGTTGTTTTAATTTCAGTTTGAAAATTTTTGGGACAGATCGTGTATGACACGCGATATACCGAGAACAAATTAGTTACTAAACCAATTTGAAATGGCTAGAAGCACAGCCAGGTTCGAATATTACAAATTTACAGTACCTTAATAACAGAAAGGATCGTTCAGTTATGGTTTTTACATACACTGAATGAAATTCTTGTGTTACAAAATTGTAGAACAAAATAAGTAGGCGTGATTGTTGCCAAATGTATAGATAATGTAATCCTGATTGCTCGTATAAATGATAAATACCAGGGTATTAATATTCGCCGTTTATGCATTCAATTCTTCTCCATGCGTTACTTTTCCGTGCGATTCTTTTCAACGTCTAATAAAGGCGTCACTAAATATTATTATTACTATAAATTGAAGGTACTCTGAAGAATCGATTGTTAATTTCCCAACGTCGAAACATTTAATCCAAGGACATTACCGACTCTATAGAATTTCTGTTTCTCGGATGAAATTTCGGTGCGCCCAGATAGTTTAATGGACTTCCAAATGTCCTTTGGTGATCCGACAGATAGATAGGCCGCAGATTGAAAATCAAAGGCTTCATCGAATCTACAAAGTTATGTACACAGATTCTAAATATCCAAAAGATAAACCTAAAGTTTCCTTTTTTATTATACCTAATTTTTCTAATTCTCTAACGATCTAGTCTTATTTATTTTGTCCACAAAAAAAAAAAAAAATAGTTTCTACGCGTTTGTGGAACAATTAAATTTGTTGAAAATGAGACGATTACTAACCTGAGGACGAACTTTCGATTGTCGACCGCAGGTTCATTTCATTGTACGTGTTCGCCTATATAAAGTGGAAAATTCTTTTTAGAACAATGTGACCATAGGATATTCTTACCACGTTTTAAATGAACAAACGCTAATGAATACGATGAAAACGATGCAAGCACTATAATCAAATTGTTCCTTTAAAACAAAAGTCCTCTAATGCAGCATGCAGCTGAATGCATTCTTTGAATTTTCACGATCCATGCAATATTGATTGATACACTCGTTATAATTATATCGAAAAATTTATTCAATAGCACAGAATCGTTTCACTGTTACTAGCTAATCAATTTAAACGTTTTTTTTTCTATGAATATTATCTTTTCCTAGTAGCACGCGTTAGTTGCTTCTTCCTTCAATTTTATGTTGCAAGACACAATTTATTAATGACCAGCTCAAGCGATTCGACTAACTCTTCTTTTCCTTTCGTTTCAATCAGACAAATTCATGCAACGAAACTTACTAAAAACATTTTTGGTCAAATCGCTGAAAGTAATTAAGATTATTTTACAGATGTATTTCAAACACAATAATTACTAACGATGTGAACATTTCATTGGTACGTTCCTCTGTTACAACGTGCAAACGCAGATTCCACTGTTACATTATCCGGAAGGAAAAGAGAGAATATGGGTGATTCGGTGATGCAACAAGCTTTCAGACTATAATCGGATTAAAATCACTTGGGTTGCTAAAAACCACTGAAGCTCATCCCCTTTTTTGCTCTCTGTGCCGTCTGTATGCAAAAACTTGTCGATTGACAATTTCATTTGAATCGAAAAACAAAAATACAACTATATCAAATTATTAGAGCCACAATATGAAAAATATGTTTTTCTGTGTTTATGTAAGAATACCGTCACAATATTAAGATTTCTACACTGGGTAATTTTTAATTAACAGTTGTCCACTGAAAATACACAAAACAATAAACTTAACTAATGCAATGTTAAAAAAATACAGATAGAATTGTAAAATCGTCAATTTATGCAAGTGGCTCTAATAAATTTGATTACACATTAAATGTCGTGACACGGAGTAGGGGACGTGACCTTGAACAGCCCATTGAGATTGATCCAACTGTAACAATGATACCTCTAGACTTCGTTCTTCGTATTTATGTCACTGTGTTCGGATTTGGTGTCTAACGACTCAACGCCCTCCTCCATACTTATCCTAGACGAATTTTCCGGCTGAAAGTATCACATTCTATCATTACGTTCGTGCCATCTCGTGCTTGCGAAATTTCTCGACTCTACTGTCGCTTTTATTCCTCGTGTCAATGACAGAAAGTGTGAATTTTTATTCGCACGAGCGTGTTTCGTTGATGTTCCAGGAGCAAGATCTCACAACGTTTTAGAAGTGCTTTCATCGTGGACGTTTTATTTGTCGTTCGTATAACAGAATCAATATTGCATATTTATTTAAAAGAAAAAAGAACAGAATACACATACAAAGCCGACGGGGATAAATAAAAACAAACCAGTGTGTGATAATGGAACGAAGAGTGAATAATATTGATGTGTCGCATCACAGTCTGAACACATTTATTTCGAGTCATGTCAGCCATGTCAACATGAGTTTCGTTTGATGGCGATTCGTTAATTAGCAATCTGGAACTGAGTTCCGCCATTTTCTCTTATCAATTGGCCGCCTTAATACTAGAACTACCAAAGCAGTCAACGATATGGATTCGTAAACTCTTGAAAAATTTTATTACAATATATAAATAAAGGAATTAATTAAAATAAATTTTCGTTTTAATCGGTCTCATGAAAGTAGATATACGTTAATCGTTGATAGTTCTAGTATTAATGATAGGATTTCTTTCATTTGATATTCTTCTTGTTATTCATTTTATTTTACCAATCTTCGTCAGTTAATTTAATTTCCGATTAATATTTGGCAGGAAATTCGAGCCCAGAATGTAATCAGAGATCAGTGACAAGGATCTATCTATTCAAGAAATAACTTCTCGATATTTCCCTTACCGATTTCACGAAATCATTGTCATCTGTATTTTCGGCTTTCGGTTGCTCGCTCTCCTCGTCTTGGTTCAGTCGTTTCGAGTCGTCTTCCTCTTCTTCTTCTTCCTCATATACACCTGCCTCCTCTTCCTCGCGTTCTTCTAATTCCGGCTCCTCTTGAAGATCCTCCATCGACTATAAATTAAAAATTCTCTACTCGAAAACAGGATTACTTACTCTCTCCACGTCTAACATAACATTTATCCTAAGATATTTAAAAATTTTATTTTAAAATATTCCATAAAAAAAAATGATACTTATTAGAAACATTGTTGCTCAATTACTTCTGTGTAAACTATCGGAAAACATAGTGTAACTAATGTACTTATAACTGCAAATATCAGAGTTTTACATACATGTCTTCTCATGTTCCCAGTGTTTATGTTTGTTAATGAAAATTGAAGATAATTTAGATTTTATTTCATTATTATGAAAAAAGCTTGTAAACGTATCGCTAGACTGCACTGTTGTTATTGCAAGTTAAACATTTGTTCTGAAGATTTTCGAAGCAAGCCTGAAAAATAGACACAGTCATTAATGAAATCATTAATGAAATTTAACTGTGGAAGCTTGAAATAAATCGGAATAGACTCGTAATGGTAAATGTTATAACACAACTGTAGTCCACTTTGCAAGCTGCTTAGAACTTAATATGTAATTTTTATAAAAAAAAGAAAAAATCTTTACGAATGGATTTGGTTTCGGAGGTTTAGTGATGATGCCTGTATTTACCCCTAGGAGCTCCTTCTTCTCCGCATCTTCATCTGCTGTAAGAACCAATACTTACTTCAGAAATCATTTCAACAGAAGAATAAAAGTGGAAACATTTTTAAAACAAGTCTACATTTGCATAAACATCCGCAGTTTACTCGTAACTTCGAAAATACCTTTCTCACAAATTCCAAACTAGTGAACAATTCTCGAAGCATCATCGAAGACTAACTATTACAGAATTACTGTCTTCTTTCCTATATCTACTATATCATGTCAAGTGGCGCACCCAGAGGGGGGGTTGGGGGAGCAAGGTACCCCAGCACCCCCATAGAAAAAGAAAAAAAAAAAGCGCTAGAAAATTTTCCAAAACTCTTTCTGAAACCCTGATAAAAGTTCATTTTTTTTATTTACGTTATGTCGTGTCTTCTATTTCTATACTACTAATTGAGCGTTCACGTAAGGTTGAAATACAAGGCGAACGAAGTAACGAAAGAGCTTCGTACAAAGAAAACAAAAACTGGATTTTATTCTTTAAATAAATTGCAATAACGATCTAATGCATTTTATGAATTTGCATTAAAAATATTTTTATCCGTTCCACTCGATTCCCCCCAAAGTTAAGATCCTAAGTGCACCACTGATTACGTCGATCGACAGATTCCAACTGCACGTACCTTTAATATGAACCCTTTTATCGTTAATTAAGTCTTTAGACTCTGCGTTGGGCAGCGGTTTGTACTCTTTGCCCGGCGGCTTCGCGTGCGTGCCGTTCGGTCTCTTCTCGTCCTCAGCCACGTTCTTGAAGCCTACCGTTTTCACGCCGGCTGGCAACGATTCCGTGTACTGCGGCGACTGCCACCTTTGAGAGCTAGACGCCGGCACCGTAGACGTCGCCGAGACCCCGGACGCACGTCTCCGGCGTCGATCTTTCCTCGCGCTACGCCAGACCTCGTAAATGCAGCCTATCACCGCTGTCACGAACACGCAACAAAGCGCGATGAAGAGGTAAGTACCAGCGCCTTGCTCCTCCTGCGTCGCGTCGGAGTACTGAGACTTGTACACTGTCCTCTCCGGTGGATCCTCCACCCAGGCTCTGTCGCGACCCTATCACAGAAGAATTGGGATTCTTTCATTGAATATGTTAGCACTTAGCAGTTCTTGAAGAACTACCAGTTCCATAAAAATATTGGAATATTATATTTCATTTTCGCAATATTAGCAGGAATAATTGGTTCATCCATGAGAATAATTATTCGAATACAACTCAGAGCCCCAGGAATTGATTAGATAACGATGAAATTTATAAGTCAATTATTACCTCTCATGCATTTGTAATCATTTTCTTTGTAGTAATACCGTTTATAATTGGGGGATTTGGAAACTGATTTATTCCTTTAGTAATTGGAGCTCCTGATATAGCAATCTCACGATTGAATAATATAAGATTGTGATTATTACTCCCTTTAATGTTTTTATTACTTTTAAGAAGAATCATAAATTCAGGATCAGAAACTGGATGAACTGTATGTCCTCCTTTATCAACTTTAATATATCATCCTTCGCTCTTCAGTCGACTTAACAATCTTCTCTTTATATATTGCAAGTATTTCATCAATTATAGGAGCTATTAATTTTATTACCTCAATTTATTTTGTAAAAAATATATCACTTAATCATGATCAAATAAGATGAGCTAGACCACCGTAGCAAAAAAAGTTTTCTCCTAAGAAATGACGTTATTCTTTCATGCATAGATAAATGTAACAAACGTTCCGTGACTATTACTTTAAAAAGAACTTGCAAATTTAACTATTAATAACTTCGTTGTATTAATTTTTACCATTCAGTCAATTTGACACCGAGGGACAAATTAAGTTGACAAAATAAATGACAGATGAGGGTTAAAAAATATTGAACGCTCTGAAAATTATGAGAGTATATAGATTACGTTCCTTACCACGCTATCGTTTCTAGGCGGATCAAGTCCACGTGGCTGTGCATGAAAGACCGCGCACTGGGCGCTCCTGACGCCGGCGGGTATCGTCGCTCTGACCGTTTCACTTCCCTGTTTCGTAAATAGCATATATTCCTCGAGTGGCTTCATGCCAGGACCTCCGTTGATCGATACCACGACGTCTACAAGAAGAGGGTATCCGTCATTTCGAATTCGCATAGTGGCTGACGATCGTTTTGTCTAACATAAGAAAGACAGTATTCCGTTAGAGGCAGCGACTGCACGTCATTCGGGATGATCGTTCGATGGGGGGGGGGGGGGGGGGGAGGTGTTAACGGACTATTCGGGTGATGTATAACATGTCACTCACTGCTCAGACAGCCCGTGTATCCTTTGTACGCGCTGAACCGGGAGTCGGTTGTGTTCAGGCCGCCCAGTTGGATCTCCGTCATTCCTGGACTCTCGTCCTCGTCGTCGCCCAGGTTCAGCACGGGGATCGGTAGCAGTTGCACAGGCTCACGATCGATCTGAATTAGAAAGGACCATTGTGGAGATGTAGAAAAAGAAAAGAATTATTTTTATCAGTATGGATCTATAATATTCTCCTTTGATAGATGACAATTACTGCTAATATAGAGAGCAGTGGAGACAATTCTTCGATCGTTTCAGTGACTGATTTTATATTCTATCGCTTTCAATAAAACTAACAATCACCTGGCACAGTGAGATTATAAGGAGAATAGATTTCCATTTGTTTTTTTATAAAAGATTATGTTAAGTATAATAGAGTGGCGAGGGGACTGTTGATTCGATTAGATTAAATAACAAATTAGTAAGAACATACCAAAAGAGTAGCTGTGTTGTTATCGCGAACATAATAGACACTATGGCGGGCGCCATTCAGAAAATTCCTGTCGTTCAAACGTACTCCATGGGCGGAACCCTCTCTGTCTTCTTCAAATATTAGCTGACCCTCGGACGTCAACGCGACTAGCAGATAGTAGCTTCTTCTAAAAATAAAAGTTTCCGAAGGACATCCAACACGTTCAGAATATGCCTTCTACAATACTTAGAACTGTAAAATTTAATACGTAGGATAGATGATTAGGAGATCTTACTTGTTCTCTGTCTGCAGGAGCAGTAACGCCGTGGTGCGTTGACGTAATTCGTTCGTCGAGAATGCCAGTTGGACCTTCACTTGACTGACTTCCCCAACAAGGTCGAATTCACGTTGGAGAACGCTCTCGCCACTGAAGTCTGCTCCCTTTTCTAATAGACGATGAATAGAATGATACATATAGTTTAATAAGTTTCAGAATGGACGACGTAGCCTCCAACACCAATTAAATTCGCTCTAATTACAATGAAAGAATTAACACAATCTAGAGTCATTGTTTCACTCCAAAACGTTCTTACCATCCGCGCAGTGTTCCCCAAAATAGGACGTTAGTTCGCAGTTGCAAGAGGACTCCTGTCTGCCAAAGTCCTCCGTGCAGATGCCCAGGTTCTTGCAAGGGACTGCGTCGCACTTCATTTGGCAGTCAGGTAGCACACCTTTGCTGCCCTCGTGATTAGCCTCGTTAGCAAGATTCGGTAGATCGACCAGGTACTCCCCGATCATCAGTCCACGGATACAGCCGACATAGCCTTTTATCAGTATCCCCTCTTTGCCGACTCTCAACAGATCGTCCGTGTCGAAGCCTCCTAGATTCACCTATGTAGGATTGCTGATCATTGCGTACATTCGATTCGAGACAACTGTCTGAAATCTCACCTGGAAGTAGTTGGTGGGTGGTGCCGGTGGCCTCTGTGGCGCCAGGACCTCCTTTTCAGGATTTATCCAAGGCTTGTTTGAATAAGTATCCAGAAGCACAGGGGTTGCGTTCAACGTGATGTTATACTCGTTCACGTGTAACGTCGTCGATTTCTCGTTACGGATTATCGCGATCTGCACCGAGATCCCCGTGTTCACACCTAAAAATCATCACCTTATGCTTAAGTGACTAAATATACCTGGCTGAGGCAAAGAAGAGAAAACTTTCTAGAACTGTGACAGTTCTTTTTAACAGGTTCCGTGTGTACCACCGGTGGTACACGCAGCCTGAATGGGAAATTTAACGTGTACCATCGGTTGTACATATGGCACGGAACGTCTTAATGTTGAACTGTAGTTTAAAACAAGACCAACAGCCTCTATTAACAAAAGACACACATTTTCGATAATTTATGACTTGAAGAACGACATGAAGATTGTCTGGCTACGTACGGCCTTTTTCACTGTGGCACGGAACGTGTTAATGTCGTTTATAAAGTTTATGTAATAAATAAAAACCATGAATGTAAGGAGACTACAGTTAATTACCTGGATATTCCACTGTAATATTCTTGATCTCGTTGCCGGCGTTGAATAAATAAACAATGCTGGTCCCATTCGATATGTATAAATGAGCAAAGTTGTTCAAATGATCGTTAGCGTACAGGATCAACGAATGAGTGTCGTACGTTCTCAGATTGATCAGTATATTCTGTAACAGTATGCTCTTCAGTAGTAATGTCTCTTCGTCCTCTTCATCCGTGCCGAAGTAGTTCTTCCGCAAGAATGCTCCTTGCGATATGAACGTGAGGGCTTTCTGGTTTATGTCTGATTATGGACAAAGGGAATTAATTTCTTACGCAATGAAATACGTGACAGACTACTTGGAATAGCTAAATCTTACTCTTCTCGCAGTAAGTGCCAAGGTGGGCCCATCTGTTCTCGCAGACGCACTCGAAGTTGCTCCAGAGTTCCACGCATCTTGCGCCATTTTGACACTTGTTCGGCTGGCAGGAAGGTTTGCAGTCCTTTATAATCTCGGATAGATGGACGGACATGTAGCTGTGAATGTCTAGAATCTCGCCGTTTACGACGAGACCGCGGAAGCAGCCGATGAGTCCTTGCCGGACTGATGAAGTCCTCAGGTGTTCTCTATATTTAAATTACAGCAATGTTTCATCACATACATAAAATAATTTTGCAAAAAATACTCACGCAGTGGCTCCACCGATGAACATAGAACCCTCGAAGGGTCCAAATTCTTCATCAGGCAATAGATCGACCATTTGGAAGTCGGTGTTGATCATGAATCTAACGTGGTAGGCGTTGTAATCGATCCAGATTTTCTGCCACTCGCCATTGTTCAGTTTCCGTCTGCTTTTTACCTCAAGTTCCCTGATGGTACCAGTGTTCAAAGTGAAATTGAAGGTCAAACGGTACTCCGAGGTTAGAGCCACCATGAACGATGGATAATTGCTCCTAATAGGTGGCTGGTATAATAAAATAGCCTTCTCGCCTGTCGTCCGGAAACTGAAAGCTATGTCTCCCTTTCGCCAACCTGGTACTTCAATATAAGACTGAGAGGTTGTGAATGTCACGACATATTTCTGTGTATCTGGAACATTGTAATATAGAGAATATTCTCGTGAAAAATACATACAACATAGTTTTCTACGTTTAACGTTTGTTGTCATTTTTATGAATAATTTAACATAATAGTTAATATTTCACACCGACGCGGTGAGAACAAAAAATTGGTCTTGCAGTCAACACGTGAAAGGAATTCTTATACACAATGGCGTTTTTTTATATGGATCACTCACTCGTTTCAACGCATTCCAGTGGTCCCAATGTAATTCGACCTTGGGCATCCTCTTCGAGGTCTCTTTGTTGCAAAAATACCATTCCTGTGATACCTAGGGAGTCTGGAGTTTCGTAGTAGCCTTCGTCGGAGAGCCACTTTCCGGCATTGCCAGCGACAACATCGCAGTTGCAACTTAGATTCTGATCGACGCAGGTCCTGTTCACTGAACGAATCAAATATTTAACATTTCGACTAATTAACAAATAGTGTACTTTAACTAGGACTGATTGTGAACAAGTAACGAGGGGTGGTTGTGTTTGTGACCGAATTCATCCTGACATAATCAATCAGATTTTGAAGCTTTGTATTTACAAATTAAAATTTTTTCTGGTGTTACTGAAGTTAAAAATCGAAGTAACGTAGCATTAGTTAAAGAGAAGGTTCGAAATTTTTTCTCATCAATTCTGTCTGTTCAGAAAATTTCAAAGATACTATTTTTAGGTAGATATCACGATGAATATCTTGATATAATTGTATCATCTGAAACTTTACTCACTTCCACAAGGACAAGAGCCTCTGTTTACGTTCCCAATGTAATCCACGGTTGTTCCCTTCGAGCTCAAAAACCAGGTAGCGCTGTGCAGCTCCAGAGGCGCCTTATAACAATCGTATTTAACGTACTGACTGCAGTACAGCGAATGTGAGATCAACTCCTGGAGCATCTCCCCGGTGAATTGTCTGTACTTGATGTTGAAGGAGAAATCTGATTCAACGATGGATCTTACGTCAACCTGTGAGGGCAAATTATGCTCCACAATGGTCTTCGTTGAATCTTCGATTGACTGAAATTCGCATTTGACGAGGGCAGGTGGAAATCTCCCGTTTCCGTCGATATCAATTTTGTAGACATCGTCTTGTGTGTAACCCAACAAAGCTAATTCCTCGCATGTTTTTCTGTATTGAGCTAAAATAAATCAAATGTGACTTTATATTGCTACTAAAATTCGTGCAAAATACCTTATTTATCGTTTTCTCGTAAACTTCAAGCGTTCACTTACCAAAATGACAATTTTTACCAATGTAACCGGTATCAGTACAGTCACAGGTGATCCTGTCCTCTTTCACTGAACACTTGCCGCCATGTTCGCAAGTGTTCGGTCTAGTACAAGGATCCACGAACTGACAATTGTCCAAAGCAACTTCTCCGATTACTCTTTCGGTGTTCACCACGTACCTAGGTTCTATTCTTTCATTGTTCACTCGTATCTCCCTCATGCAACCAACTAGACCTAGCCCAGAGTAGATATAATCGTTGTACTAGTTAAAACAATTATGCAAATGAAATTGTGAAACCAACAAAAATTCTTCCTGCGGTACTCATTTCCACATTTTTTTTCTTTAATTTATTTAAATTAATTTGTGAAGTATCAAACGGATATCATATATGTTCGATATCTACACGTTCAATACTATTTGATACGGTAAAATAATTTTCGGGCTGGAATCGGTAGTGTTAGTTTGTTATCATTCCAATCACTATCATGACATCGGTCGTCATAGTGATAACTTTTTGTATATTAATTTACACAAATTTTGACACCGTAATATATACACCGTAAATTGTGTTTATAACAATGCAAACTAAACTATCGAATAACATAAAAATTTTGTAAACCTTAGAAATCATTATTAAGAATTTAATAATTAAACATTACAGAACTGATACCACAAAGATATCTTTAGGTTTCTAATCGTTTCTAATAAAATAGATTTGAAGTGCAAGGGGTTAATTTTGAAAAATAAAGAGTATATTGAATAAGTGAGTTTTAAAAGATTTCTGTACCTGCATTGCTCTTTCCACTTCCGATGATCACTTTGTCGCCCAATTCAAAGGTCATGGAGAACAGTTTGCTCTGCTTGTTTCTATAGTCGACAAGAATACTAAGTTCCCCCTTGGTGTAGTTCAGTTCAACCGCGTGCCAGGATGTATTGTACGGAGGAAATTTGACAGCCGCTGTGACCGTGACGTTCTCGGTCACCACGGGAATTAGTTGGAAGCGAATTTCATCGTTGACGAGACGAAGCTATAGACACAGGAGGCAAGCGAATCAGTTAATGTGAAGGAAACATTCATGAACTAATATTAATGTCTTATAAATAGTCTGCGAATTTTTATGCAAATATAGATATTTGTGGAATAGTTCATCGAAATTAGAATCCAAGGAGAACTTCTTCTCATTAATAAAGGTTCGTAAGGTTAACCCTTATAAAATTTAATTTTAGATATACATTATTTTTATGTGAACTCTATTCCGTTCTTCTGTGCGAAAAATTATATCCTCGATGCAACGATTGAATACAGTTCAAGGGTTTTAAGTTTCAAAGTAAACTAAAAAGATTAGTTTGTATTATACATCCTCCATAAAACCCGTAGTGAACTTATAAAGTGATATTACCTCCCAATAACCAAGCCCACGATTACTTTTCACGTCTCCTGAAGCGACCACCGCAATGGGTTTCGAACTTTTGAAATCGAAATTCAGTTTGAGGGAGTCCGTTCGTGCTATGGGCCACCAAATATGGCTACCAGCGAACGGATATGTTATTGGGATCACATCGACATCTGCCTCGTAGTATTCAGGCTCTAACACACCGATGTAATGTACCATTGGATTCGATCGTTTCAATTCGTAGATGATGGACTTGTCGTTAAAGAAAACGTACTTCAACGAACCTGAAAATAATTTAAAATAATACCTTCGCTCGTGACAGGCGTTTTTAATATTGAAGATATGATTGATTTGATGTATTTCCATGTTGAATATTTAATATAATAAAAACTGTATTTTGTACCCGCAAAATTATTGTACGATAGCAGTCCTTTTTTCTTCTGCAACTCAGGTCCACCGCCAATGTAAATCTCAGGATCTATAATCATATTGTAATTCTCTCCGGGGACTTCGAGCACCTTTATTTCATCGTCTAAACTGACAAACACTAGAGATCCATTGTGAAATATCGTCAGATTGTTCCAATGGTTCGCAGTGATATAATCACCGAGGACCGTAGCAATTTTCGAATTGTGTCCGAAATCTAGCTCAACGTGCACCGATCCGTTCATGATGGAGGCTGCTACGTAGTGAGGAGTCCCGTCGATTTCACCGGATGCATAGAATAATGCCGAATCGTCCCATTTTGTCTAAACAAGGAGAGAACATATTAGAGCTAATTTATTTCGTTTATTTGAGTTCGTTGGAAATTATTTGATCACGGATTTCGTACATTTATAGCTTATAGGATTCTGTGACATACAATAAAAGAAAAAGCTTTAATCGTTTGTAAGGAGTTTTCAATTTTATTCGTAATCTGTAAGAAAGGAATTCCTAATTTGTTCTAATTTTTATAAATTACTTTGTAAAATGTCATTAGTCTGGTTATAAATATTCGTCTGTTCAAATTTATGGGCTTCAATACCTTAAATGCCAGACTTATTCTGTTGACGGATGAATGAACCCTGTCTTTCCAATCGTAAACGCGGAAGGAGACGTACGAAGATCCTCTCAATGTTAAAATCGTCGCCGCTAAAAGAATTTAATTGAAATTCTTTAATAATTACCTTATCCCATTTTCTATGCTACACTCTTTTAAAACAATAACTTATTAATATTTATTAGTATACATACTGTACACATCACAACGTTCTCCCTCATATTTGGTCCCAAAGCAATCACAAGTCAAACTGTTATAGTGATTCACGCACTGGTTAGGGATGAAACAAAGATTCTCCCGTGTCCTACACCTAAAAATCACCATGATATACTAGAATTGTACACTGAAATAAATAACGCCATAAAATATTGGATATCATCGAGTATCTCACTTGTCCGTGCAACCCTCCTGCACGTTCTCATGTTTTGTGGCAATCAGAGGTTGAATCGGCAATAAATCGCTAGCCGACTTGCCAGAACTGAGAACCATGTCCCTTATGCAACCAACGAAGGATTCTATTATGTACTTCACGCCATGTAATCGCTCTTCAGAACTCAACCCTGATGGAAAATATAGATAACTTATAGAAAACTCAATACCATTTTTATCGTTCTAGACTCTATATTAATTGTAGCGATTAAAAAGGGTGAATGAAAGTTTATTCTACTCTCCAGACATCTCTAGAATCTCTATTCTACCTCCAATAAGAACGACGGACGCCAATTCCTCCGACACTCCGTAATTGATCACATGCTCCAAAACCTCGAGCGTCGTCTCTTCTTGTTTGTCGTCCACTCTAGCGATCAGTTTCGCCCCATGGACGTCGATCCTCACAAGAACGCTGTGCCATTGGTCTCTGTTCAACCCTTCGCCGACCGTCAGACTGGTTGATCGTTTACCGAACACGTGGACAACTTTTAGCTGACCCTTCTCGACGATCACGTACAGAGCGTACGGATCTAGACTCTCTGGTCGGTCCTTCACGCTGTGGTAGACTAGGAGACCGTGGGGTAATTTTGTTCGGAACTTGAAGGATATTTCGCGACACAATCTGAAAATTGGGATTAAAATGGTTTAATGTCGTAGCGTGTCAATTTGAACATCCTGTAACAAGTCGAGTGCCCTAACTTCGGGTCATCGATTTTGATGAAGCTTTTAGGACACGTAGTAGGCTTCTACGTCCTTAAAAATCACTCTTCCAAATGCGGACAGATACTCGAAAGTTTTTTAATTAATTACTTTTGACGTTTTCCGTGTGATTTAACCCTAGGATGAAATAATTGCATGTGACTTTGTGTATTCCCTCCTTGCGAATTCATATATGCAATAATAATTTCCTAAGTTTATTAACAGAATAGTTAAGAAACAAATTTGGAAATTCAGATTTTATCGCAATTTTTACACCACCGAGCAGCGAATAACCGAACAACATAATTTGTTTTTAAGTCACTCGGGAAACTACTAAAACTGTTGAGTATTTGTCCCTACATAAGGAGTGATTTCCGACGAAGAAACCAGCTACATGTCCTGGAAGTATCATTAAAATCGGGGACCCGAAGTTGTGGCCCTCTACTTGTAAGCACTCACCGTAATTGAAATGGTTTGATGCCAGGGCCATCGAGCTGAATAAACGTGTTACTTTGCGCAAACATGAAGGTCTTCTCGTATCCTGACTCCATGAAAGTTAGCTCCTATAAAATATTTTCAATCTTCAATTTCTAATACTTCTATTTGTGTCCGATTCTCTCAAATTGAATTCTGGATTTATCTGATCATCCATTGTACAGTAATCGATCCTTATTGTTTGTAGTTCGAAAACCGTAACATGGGTACAAATTTTGAGATTGAAACAATTCTCGAAGAAAATTGCTAACATTTCGAATGTTATTTTAATTTATTTACAATTTATAGTTCAAATTAATTTATAAATATTTGCAGGGAAATTTCATGGTAACTTTCATGTAGATTTTTAAAAGCGTTGTACAAACTTGTAGGACTTAAAGATATGAAAATTTTCCGGTCATTTATTTCCCATCAAACAGGTACTTCTACACCTATCATTACTTTCCTTTTACCAAAGAGCTACGATCCTTAATCTAATCTCACGAAACCGGTTAAACTACCTTTGAACTCGTGATATCGTCAGAAACGTCTTTTGCATGCAAATTCGGGAAGATTACCTTTCCCCTTTTGTACTTCGGTACAGGTGGTCTCGTAGGCGCGGGAGGCGCGAACGTTGGTCGTGGAGTGATAGCGGTGGTGGAAGGAAATGTGTTCGTAGTCGTGGTGCTTGTCACAAACACGCTACCCTTTGTCACCAAATATGGTGGCAACGTATCTGAAAATGCCTTAAATTTCACTTTCTGTTTGTTGTATTATCAAAGCAGTCTCGAAAGAAACAGTTTAACCCTCGTGCACTCAGGCATTAATTTTTAATTATATTCTTTATGAGGGGAAATTGTAAATTAATTCGACACCAATAATTTACATATATTAATTCGACTTTAGCTTAGACCAAGTATAATTCAAGTAATGGAAATTGAATAATTTATTAAACAATGCATAATGGTTGGATTATAATGTTAAGTTATGTCATATTCGTGTTTCTGATTAGGTAAGATGATAGAAAATTTTTATTTGTATTCTATGATGCCTTTCTGAATGTTTGCAAATTAAAGGTAGCTTTGTAAATAGTTGTTAAACATGAAAACTAGAGTACTTACGATCAGGACCACCCACGCAATGATAGAGACACTCGGCTTCGGAGTTGAAACGATTCTCGTTTCCCAGGCAGCCGCCGTAAGGGAACATCCTGCATTTTCCTTCAGTCTTGTTGAACGTCCACTTGTGTACATACTGTTTGCAAGGACCAGGCTCGGTTTTGACGAGACACCTGTCTGGAAACGTTCTTTTAGTCGTGGTGAACCCCTCCACTTCGTCGGACAGATCTATTTCCGATGAATCTGTTAGATTTGCTAGGATCATCGCGTAAACGTTCGCCCAAACGACGATCATCAAGATCCGCCTGATATGGTCCGCCATTGCTATCTTTTACCTGAAAATGAACAATAATGTTCTGATGTGTTTCAATCTTGGAGCTATGACCCTGAAGGGCCATTGCTTCCCATCAAACAATTTACTAGATAATCTTTGGAGTTAGTTCAAGTTGTTCAAACGACCTCAAACAGTATCAAATTTATTCTATACCTTGTTATATTAATTTAGTATACATCAAGACAGAGTTCATTTGACAATTGGAGATATTATATGATAAAGTATTCCTTATTTCATTTTATTCTCGCTGAATTCTTCAGTCATACAATCGCAAACCGCTAATTTGTTTTGGAAACATACTGTTCAATAATTGCACAATAAATAATGAAATATTATGATACCAGTGTGTCTCAATTAAATAATATAATCTACAGCACTGGAAATATTTATTCCATCACTCTCAAATTTACTTAGTACGCACAATTTTTATGGCAAACGATTAATAAAATGATACGTATCCTAATTAATTTTCCTAGTACTAATAATAAGAGGGATATAAGTGATAACATGTTTACGATTCGACTGATCCAGTAAATATTTCCAGTATTGTATACGCAACGGCTTTAAATAACAATAAAGTCTCTCAAATCTTAAGCAAACGTTCAATTGATTAATTACAAAACCACACGCTACAAACTGCCCAGCACTCCGCCTAAAAAATTTCATTACCCAATTCTCTTCAAATCCATCCGACCGAATGTCAAAGCGAATACAAGCTACCAAGAAAACCTCCACTAAATAATTCCACCCATACACAATGAAACATCTTCCGTATCATTCAATTCGTCCCATAATTCAACTCACTCCCGACACCAGTCTCAAACATCGAGCTTCCTCTTACAATTAACTCCCCGAACTCCGTACGAACCTCAGAAATCACCCTTGAAATTCCCACGCGTTACCTCCCGTTCCACGTTCCCCCTGATTCTTTCTCATCACCACCGTAGATCGAGGCTCGAAACGATAAAGAAATCCGCGTGATGATCGAACCGTGATCGATCGACGAACGTAACCGGCGAACCGCGACGGACGGGATCTGAAGCTGTCGCGAGTGACAGTTTTCTGCGTCCAAACATTGAGGACGCACGAATCTGCGTACCTTGATGTGCCGTGGTCCAAACGAGATCGCGACTAGCCAAGAGGACAGGATGTGACGTCAGAAGGCCCCCGGCAAGCACGGCGGCGGCGGTGGCTGCGAGTCAATTGTCTTCTTTCGCAGTGACACACACCGATACAATCCGATCCCACACGGACACGACGACGGACACGCGTGTGTGCACGCACGCCGCGCGATCAGCGTCTATTCCTCCTTGTCCGCTCCGCTGCCTTCGCCACCTTCTCTCCTCCGTCCTCGACGACCCCTTACGCTGCCACCTTCGTCATCCTCGTGACCACCGGCCCGAGATGATTCGAATCACTGGGAACACGAGGGGGGAAAGCTTGTGAATCGATTCGATCGTTTTCGTTCACGATTTCGCTGGACAGAACGTGAATTGAAGAGTACAATGACGGCCGTGAATTTAAGGGGCTATGTGTGACAGTTTTAGAAAATCGAATTTTTCTTTTTTTTTAATAATTGGTTGAGGAAGAGGAAGGTGTATTATTTATATGGCCCCGGGTAGGTGATTAGATATAAGTATGAAACATTTCTCCTTTTATGCTCTAAAACAGTATTGGAAACTTTCATCGTGTTTTTCGAGGCGAAAGATTGATAGTTAATGTGATCAGATTTACGTGATACACGTGATTTGTGAGAGTAACTGTTAACATATTTAGATAGGAAGCTTACTTTCTTAACTTTCAACGTCATCGAATACTGATCAATGTCCATCATTATTATCCCCGTCATCGCCACCTCTTCATATTCGTCTTTCACTTCTGTCTGTCGTTTCACCGCCTCCTATTGATGCTCCTGCTGCCGCTGCTTATGGCAACTAGACACTAATTTATTAATACCACTCCGACTGCTGCTGTCTGTTACTCATCACCGTTTATTGGCTATCATTGCGATCCCGCCACCGCCAACGCTTTTTCGCACAACTCTTTAATTTGTACTTTCTCCCATTTCTCCTCTATAAAGTTTCAGAGATAGCGTCATATCAAGTATGGAGATAACGCTGGAAGCAAAGTAATTAAGAAACATTAGCAGGAGAGAGACTACGTTTTTATTACTTTTTAAGAGGGGATCTTGTTTTTGTAATAAGTTTCATTTGTTATGCACTTGACAGGTTTCACCCCCTTCCCCCCCCCCCCCCAATAGTAGCGATAACGCCTGGACAATAATCGTGGAGGACAAGTCAGACGATAATCGAGTGGAGTCTGTATGGGAGGATCTGTAGTTTCATATTGTTCATGTTTGTTTTACTAAAAAGATCTGAAAATCAGCAATTGTTTTTAGATTTTAGCGAAACTATTATGTTTACGAGAAAGTAATGCACTATTGTTTTCGAAAGTCTGTGTTCGTCTCGAAATACCTTAAGTACCTATCGAATTTTATCAGTATCCGTTATATATTCTCCATCCCTTCTCTGCCATTTTGATCAAACAAAAAATTGCAAGTCTATTCTGAATCTCTAAAATCTATTTGTGTGAAATGTATTGCTACTATATTGGAACTACAGTGAATTAATTATTGGTACACCTAATATAAGAATATTGTAGTACAATGTATGTTTTTAATCGCAGATGGAAGACGGGAATATTTTTTATCCGAGTTGCAGCGGACGCAGTTTCTTATTTTGAAGCAGGAAGGTGGAACACTCTTCACGGGCACTCCTGTTGTCCTCGGAAAATCGATATATCGAGCAAAACGGGCGACTGGGTCATTCTAGCAGCTGCAGTTTAAAGAGAGGAACGAGAACGGGAGAATACCTGTTCCCCATTTACCTAATGAGCAATCAAACTTCGTGTCTATCCTTTATCTACAGAACACAATAATTACCTTAATACAATAGTGCTTCCAGTATCCCAATTAATAGGAAGACACGAATGTTCGAATAATAGAACAATCACTTTTCTGATACTAAACTTTATTCATTAAAATAAAGATCACGAAACCTGATAGCTTCTTTAAATGTTTATGGATCCCATATGTTTATGCATAATTTCTTTATATTTCGCAATGGAATTAAGGCACTTGTCGAACATTTTTTGTCATCGTTAAACAATGAAGTCTCCAATAAAATAAAGTATTACGTTTTTTAGGGTTTGTATTAATACTTTAAAGTCTATAACTGGTTGTCGTTAACGTAAGTTCTTTCGATTTTAAACAACAACTGGTTACAAGCATGATATTGTGAAGCAATTATTATTAAATTTTTTCATTCGTATCGTTAAATTTTTGTGAATTGCACGCGGCTCCAATTTTAAATTGCGCGCGCAAAAGTCGCCGGTTGTGAAACTGTTAAATATTGGGAAGACAGGATGAAATGGTACAATTTTGTCACGAACAAAAAAAAGACGATAATTTATCCAGGTCACGAAGGGATAGTAGCAGCTACCGAAACCAAGGACAGGGTTTGAATCTTGATCCCTCGGATGAAAAGTAATCCATTACTCATAGTCTTTCTCTCCTGACACCGCGGTTTCATCTAACGATAAGAAGAAAGGCTGCTGCATTGACCGGAAGTCACGTAGGGCGCCTACATCGATGTTATCCTTTGAAGGGAGACGATTCAATCTCCATAAAGGAAGTTTGTCTCCTAGAACCTGACCGTTGGGCTCGCATGTTAATAGAAAAGAAGGAATTAGTCGATGAATCATCTGAAGGATCATCTGTTCCCTGACTTGGGTACTTGAGTTGTTGCGCGGGATGTAGCAGATTTCATTTATCGATATATCTATTCACTTTCATGTAGAAAGATTATAAAGAAAAAACATATATTAGATTAAAGCGTGTAGTTTGTTGATTATGAATAGGCTGTAGATATTTATGTAAATTCACAATTTTAAACATGAGTTTGTAAACATGGAAATAAGATAGCAATTCAGTTTTTGTTCTAGATGTCTTATTATATATTGATAATAATATGTGAATATCAGTAAGTTTTATTAATCATTGGTTTCCTGTTATTTGAATGCTAAAATTTAATATAAATACATAAACGTATGTAGTGTTACTGAAAGTTTAAAGATTATTGGTATACTGACGAAGAATCTCGTATCAAGGGACGTTTTTTTTTAATTTTTAATGACCGGCTTATTTTGATAATTGAATCTTTAAGGATGAGCTCCTAATTGCCGCGATTAATAATCGCCCTGCGAGGAGTCACTTGGGTCTAAGTGCGTCATGCATTAAAAATGTTCTCCATCTTTGCTTTACCTTTCTTAAACACTGGATCATGAAATAAATTTCAAAATTATGTTATATGCGGAATTTTGTTCGGCTTGATTTTTAGATTTATTCTGTAAATTAATTCTGAAATGCTCTCTCATTTATTAAATTAAATACAATAATTTCTATTTTCAAAATTTGGTTTAATAAACATTTCATTTCGACTGATTGCTTTAACTTAACTTTACTTTCAACTTTAATGGTTTGTGACATTCATTAGAATGCATAACGATTATTCATTTAAATTTGTTGTACTTTATGCTTGAACTGTTCTATGGTATAACTTTTATAATAAGAAGTTACTTACACTTTCCGAACGTAGCCATAAATCGTCAGCAGAAGTCAGTAACACTTGTGTAAACAATCACAAAATACATAATTGAAGACTAATTAATTCAAAAGTATTTAATCCGAGCAGTAGTGTGAAAAAACCATTGGTAACTTAAAATATATTTTTTTGATCATTTCTACCGTTTAAGTATTGGTTAATTTCACGATTAAAGTTTACAAACTCCAGCGTCCGGTTCTGTCAAAACACCACAAATAGTCCCCTCTTCTATCGATACTTCCCCTAATGTTTAAAAAAATATTCTCCCCCTTGTCGAAACAGTCTGTATAATTATTCAATGACAAATTTGGAAACTACATCTTTCGA